TTAGATAATAATTAACAAAGAAGCATGGACCCAGTGAACTTCACTAAACACTTCATTTTGGAAGTTCGTGTCAACCCCACTTGTTCCTCTTCACACCCACTTCCCGCTCCCGTTTCGCACTGACAGCTCTAACGTAGGCTTCACCACTCAGCCTTATTAGGGGATGCAACTGTAGTGAAACCGAAGCAATCAACCTTCTAGTATTTCACAACATTGCCTTTTCTTGGTCTTTGTAACTTCAGGATATTCATTTTTTACTGGCTATACATCCCTAACACTTTTATTCCCGAGAAGCAACACCCTACGTTGTTTCTCGTTCTTGATGATAAGCGAACCAATTCGCTGTCCATTCCCTGTAGCCTGTCCAATATACTTTGGGTTCAGCTAACTTTAGCTTCTACTGTTCCGTAGTTGACACATCTTACTTATCATCACTACCGACTAGCCTCCGAGGCACACACAACAGATTTTGCATTTGAAGGGTGCGAGGCGTAGCCCGAATTTTTTGACAGCCTGTGCTAATTTATCCAGTGCTGCTTGGTTCATTTGTGAGCTGTCACACACAAGAAATGTGGTAACAGTTCAACCAGTTCGCCTATTTTAACCAATTTTCCACTACTACCCACTAAATGTTCCACTTTGTACTTGCAGGTTGAACTGCTAAGCAACCCTTATTGTGTGCATATTCGTGTAGATGCAAAGTATAAGATTACATTCCCACTTAAGTGGGTTGCATCGTACTCTTTCAAGTTGTCAATGTGTGCTTTGAAGATGATAGTATGGGCTAGGAGTTCTCGTGCCCAGAACTGGAATCGCTGTTGCTGGCTGCCTACCAGGTTCTTTATCTCTAACTATCCAGAGAAAGAGCACTGAATGTAATATAAATGTTTGTTTCGTGAACAAATATCCGAGCATTTTGCTCCTCAACCGGTCGGTCTACGCGAGCACCGGTTGCGACCTTATCATGCAACACTGAATTACCATATATTCAACTGGTTTAAAGTGTGTGAACTTTTGTTATTATGGTTAACAAAAAACACAAATAGTTTGGGGGGAAATTCAGACTTTATTGATTCTTTACAGTCAACATTCAAGCCGAGCCGTGGCGCAAGAGTGGATCGATCTACATTTGGAGATCAAACTCGATCAGATGTCAAACGTAAATCTATGTGGGATCATCGGCAAGTTAAGTCCTGAACTTGAACCGTTTGTGTTTTGTTAATTGATATTAGTTAGCAGCTCTGATATCGTTGTGTTTAGCACTTGCCTCCAACCTATCTATTCCGCTATATTCTCATGCAAGAATAACTCCCGGTCCAGCGGGTCGTTGGTGTTCACGTTTCGTTGCGGGTTGAACGGGTTGGGTGCGGCAGAGGAGGTTCTGGCAGGTTATTCGTACAGTCAGAGGAAACCACAGCATTATGGAACCACGGTGTTTCTCAGTTGAGCTTGTCCGTCATCTTATTCAGCCGGTGCGATTATGCCGATTGTCTGAACACGCAGAAACGACTACGGGCGTAGAAACCAATGCACATGGAGCCAGTAAATGTTCCCACAACCCAGGTTAACTACGGCATACATGCGTTTATCATCAAAACAGATTTATTTCACTTATTACTTTATTGATTACATAATAGTGACGTGGGATGCGTTCTGAGACCGTCCCTACTGGCAATTTCAAGGACTCAGTAAGGCAACATGGTGGGATTCGTAACATAACTGCAGACTCGTCGGAGCGTCATTTTGAACAGGTTCGTGTGTGAATCCATTGCGACAGGCAATATCGCTGTATAATGCGCGAATGAATCACTGACAATTCGATCACTGAGACCGTATTTTCAACACACATGGATTTTAGTTGAATCCTGATTACTACACGACACTCCAAATGACCAGGGTAGTCAAGTATGACCTAGAAATGCGCACTCATTTGCCGGAAGGAGTTCCTCAGATGCTGTTAAACGTTGGCTTTCATACGTTAGACGGTGGTACTTTTGAGATTGAGCTAGCCAACATGTTGCAGCTGCTCCGAACAGAAGACCTCCTGAAGCCAACAGAGTTAACTTAGCAGCCGCTCATATATCCTGCTGGTGACGATGCATTAAGCAGTAGAAGTAGCGAATCATGGAAATATTTGTCGACGGAAGCTACATTGATCTCAATGTAGGTGAGCTGAGAATGCGAGGAGCTAGCGGATCGTTGTACTAGCGAATCTATCATTTCCTCATAAGACGAGGCTAAAGGATCCAGGTCAACGGCCGTCTGCCCGGGTGATTTCCTTCTACCAGTGACGTATGCCAACGCATCGCACTGGCAACCATTTTGCATTTGCTTCAAATAAATGAGCTGCATTAGAGTCACCGGTATCTGCGTATTTTATCTGCTTAAGACCTGATGAATAGAACTGGGAGTAGTCATTTAGACGATGGCAAACTGCCTCAGCAGGACCTCAACTGCATCTTTACTTTTCTGTAGATAATTGTTTCGCGGGCGATCTAGTAAACTCAACCATAATCCTAGGAAAAAGTGGTGAAATCACAACCTACATCCTGGATGGTCAACCGCTACACCCCACACCTTTAACCAAGGACTTAAGCCTACCCTCATGCTGCGACCTGAGGTCCGTGTATGATACGAACGGGCCACACTGTGAAAACTGCGCATGCACTTTGTCGGAAGAGGCTGCCGCTCACTTCTCTTCCATCATGAGACCAATGTTAACGTAGGAGTTACATTCACCATCCGATCACCCAAGGTAAGATACGGAAGACAGAACAGGTCCAACGCGCCACTACGAGGCTCATGCTGGGTTTGAAGGCCACCAATACGCGTTCGAGATCTTATTAAAACCTACCGTATATGACTTCCTATGTTGAGGCCGTTGTTTCCTCTGTGCCTGTGTTGCAGTACAGGTGGACATGTGCACAGACATGTAGTATTGCATCCGAAACGGAACACCCCACCTTCGTGCAGTCAGAGGCGACCGATTAGTGCTTGGAAGCGTGTATCGGAAGATTTAGTCGTGATACCACCAGTGTCGTAACCTAAGACATTTCTGGACACATATTTCCTGAATGAGGATTAAATGCTGGTCTGTCTGTGCATAGTTTCGTGCTTCCGTCGAGTACCCTGGTCCAAATTCTAATCTACTGTAGGTAGTGCGTTCAAACAGCTGGTGTGCTCCTCGTCTGGCCGTACAGCTCCACTCGCTATTTCAGAGTAGATACAGTCCTAAATATCACAATGTCTGAAGTTTCACCACATGCATTGCAGGGCTACTGGCATTTGGTTTGTGTAACCAACCACATGCTTTGTCGTAAAATGGCAAGTGATGGAAAGTCGCATTGAAAAGCCCGCTACCATGGGCACAGCGTAGACTATTTATGTGACTGCTTCTGAAGTATATTTCCACGCTGAAATTGTTCGGGCAGGTGCATGAAAAACGTTTCACCCATGTTTGCAGTACCTAAATATGAATTTCCGAAATCAGCAGCAATAAAGTCACGTGTAACTGTGTGCCACATGCAAAATAAGCGACGTCAGCAGCCAAGCTGTGAGGCAACATTAAAATGTGGACACATACATCCTCGGCTCGGCATCCAGTTGTAAGATTTTGTACTATTCATCCCTTTTTGACAGAACACAATAGGTGTGTACCATATACACCAATGGAACATAAAGCCCATAGCGAACTGAAGAGTCCCCTGTTTGTTTGGGTACGGTGTCTAAAATATTAGCAAATATAATTTCATCTTGTTCCTAGGCAAAGTAGAAAGCTTGCCTGTTTGAAATTGGACTATGTGTGTTTGAAGCAACCAGACGGATCGCACTTTGCGCGCTTCTGGCTTTCCGCCGCGAAGGGTGCTGGCGACCTCTGTGGTGACGACCATCCTTCTGTCCTTAGCTAGAACCTTTATGCAGTGCCATTTACTTAGCGGGACTGTATGTTTCAACAAAAAAACGTATATTTCGCCGATTTATTCGTCTTCTTGTGACTTTTCATTAAGGTGCGCGGAACTTGGGTATATAACGACTGATGGATTGTATTATAAGACTGGTATGTGCCACAAAATAGTTTGGCACATGCACGGCTATGCAGGAAATCGGTAGTCGCTTCCTCCATTAACCAATCCAATTGGCTGGCGTTTTGGTGCAAACACCGCGCGATATCTCAACTCTGGTTTCAAGTGGGTATCGAAGTACAGTTACGGTCAGGAACCACAGTCTTACGGGTTACACACTCACCTCCTGAATACCGACTTTACTGGTCAGGTCACGTGTTTACCTTTGATGCGGTGATGTTTATTGTCCCTGACACAAAGTTGCAATGAAGTTGAATTTGGAACGTAGTGTTACCCGCTTATATCATAACAATGATGACCCTTTGCACCCTTCACCATACGAAGGCGGTTGGTGCATGCTGTCTGGGCTAGTTAGGGGTGACCTAGCTTTGTATCTGAGCCAGTGAAATGTTCGACAAGACAGTGGGGATAGTCAGCAACTAGTTGGCTTACTGTACATAGCAGAATGTAATAATCTTTGCTAAATTTCGTAAGTCTGGTGCGTCTGCGGCAGGTAATAAGTTGGATCTCCCACTAAAATTGGGAAAAGCTACGTTCATGTTTGTATTCATTTATTAAATCCTCTGAGGGACCGTTGACCCATTCGGATCGATAAGACTCTACCCCCGCAAGCTATCGGGAGCGCTGAGTTTGGAGTAGGACGTAGTTATGAAAACAAAGTGGATGTTGGCGGCTTCTATTGTTGAACAAATGAATTATGTGAAGGTAAAAAGTAATCACAAAAAGTCAAAACCCAATAAACGTGAAATGAAATCGGAAGAACGAGCTGAGTGCTCCCATGATTGAACTACACAGGTGACATTGTCGTGGTGCGTCTGTTTTCGGTACCGGACAATGGGTGTTGGTTGGTTGTAAGCTCCTCATTCATTGTGTACATCATACAAGAGCACAGGGGCATTAAGAGAAGTGTTATTCTAGTCACAATTTCGACAAGTCCTCCGATGAGTTCATCCAGGTCGATGCAAGCCTTAGATGGTTGTGACAAGCCACGTAGGCATCGTACAGACTTGGGTAGGACAGACTGATCAAAGGAACGCGCAACCAGGATGAAGTGTCCAAGCATTTGTGGCGGTGAATTTCTAGGTGGTGCAGAAAAGTGCAATATATTATAAAAACCGAACGAATATATACAAAACACTACAAGAACACTTCCAAGGAACTTAGGCTCAGGCATGGATATTTTACGATGACCAGACATGGCACCAGTTCAGTTACGTTATGCACAAGGAGAATCCTTCACAAATCACTAAACGTATCCTACCAAGCGATAGTATCTATGGATGGCTTTCCGTTGATATGTATACAGAACGTTGGTCTTTGCTGAACTCCTGGAATTTACTTAGCCACTCCCTCAATTTAAGCAGGAATGAAGGAATAACCCGTGCCGCAATTGCATTCTTCTGCTACATAGAAGGGTGAAAACCGCCAAATAAATGGTTAAGTCATGGCAGGCATGACACTGAAGTGAAAATCGTGATTTTGCTGATTGTCCCACTAGCGTACTAATTCTGAAAGATTAGAAGCAGTATGGCTTTGGGGCAAAGCACTAGGTATCCCACGCTGGACCGTCAGTGTGAAAGTATTCGTCGGATCCAGCCGCAAACTTTACTCGTAGCCACCAAAAATAAAGCGGTGCACAGACGCGACATGAGATGCCGAACACAGCGAACAAAAACACGAATTCAGAGTCACATTAACAAATTCTCTCATCATGTCCCCTTACACCTACACCCACTCAGCATTCGACCGTGCCTATCTCCAAACGATCTGGACCGGATTAGCGAATGGACAAAAAGGAACCAGGTCCCGGTGAATCCTGCAAAGTGCCACCTGCTGACAGTGTGTACCTGCTTCAGTAACACATATCTTCTGAGAGAGCACATTTTGCAACCGGTGACGCGAACGAGACTTAGGTATCACCGTCTAAAATAGTCTTGGCAATTCGCTCCAATGCTCGAAAGCAGCGAATGTGGCGAACTTGAAATTGAGGCATTTGAGGCGAGCTCTTGGCACGTTTGAGCGAAGGTTAGTGCTACTGTTGCTCAACACATATCTTTGTCCCCAACTTGAATATGCAGTTCATGTCTGGCGCTCATAGTTAAAACGAAATATTCGTCTCTTGCAGAAACCCTAAGGAAGAGCCACCAGGGCAGCACGTGAACTAGCCGGTCTCAGTTACGAACTGCGTCTTCGTTTATTTAGTGTCTACTCCTCAGAATACCGACGGCTTCGCGGGGATCTTGTCCTCACATATCGGATACTAATTGAAAACGAGCACGTATGTGAATCACTGCTGGCCCTGGCTTCATACAAACAATGTCGAGGCCAGCACCTGAAATGAGTGACGAAACACTCCTGCAACACTCTCTTAGAAGCTGTTTCCACTGGAATACACTACCAACACATGTGATGAACACACCAGACGCTGCGGCATTCGAGAGACTGCTGGACTTTCATCTTAGTGCGAAATGCTACATGACAGTGTGATAAAGCGCGATGTCTTTGATACTGATGATTCACATTCCACGTTGAAAGAAATTTGATTTTAATTTTGTGCATTTTCCATCTTGTTGGTATCGCAATGTTATGCTTTTTATCCCATCATACACTATTGAACTATTGAACACAGACCCGGTATGTTGCTAGTTAACTTGCGGCATTGTTGTACATTTACCGAACAAACGTGTTTGTATTATCGTGATTATGCCTTTGCAGACATGCTTCCCACTGCCAGGAGTAAAACAATTATTCATTTATTTATTGTTACGCCAATTTATATCGTTAAACTTGCCTGGCTCATCTTTTGTTCAAGGTGAAATATTTCACTTATTTCAAAATGTACAGACTTGTGTGCACACTGATATACAATAGCAATGTTTGCTTTTCATAATCGGCTTGTTTTATCTGCATCTGAAACTAATAACTTCCCATTAGCGCTTCACGCCTTGGTGAGGTCTGCCGGTAGGGTGAAATGGATCTATGCATTGTTCCCGTGATCCTGTAGTGCTACAGTCGAGCACTAGACAAGAGACACCGTGAATCCGTCAGTATCAATTCGTGGAAGATTGATGTGTGAGGCTAGATCACAAGGGAATGGCGTTCAATCCATTTGCTGTCCACGACTCTTTCTCCAAAGGTAGAGTCATAGATATGAAACGTAGCCTTTCAGTCCTTTAGTGATGTTCGGCTTTGAATCCAATCATTAGTTACCTGGCAACGACCAGGTGTATACTCTTGGAAAATACCACATTATAATCGCCAGCGGGGCTAGTCTAACAGTTGTTCACACACATTTAATACCAAGCAAAAATACTCCGTAGGAAATTCCTGTCTTACTCACGAGAGAAAAGCAAATGGTATTGACTTCATGGATGGATACTGGACGGCGCTTGCTAGGTAATGAATAGTGAACAATGATTTATCACGGGATAAAAGCGTGCTTGACACGCCCCGTAGAATGGTTGGGGTGAATATGATGAAATTAAAATACATCTGGGTCATCTACCGAACGTCTGCCTAGATGAATACTTCGATAAATTACATCAGTGTAAAATTTAAAAAATCGAGCGTAAACGTTCAGAAAGACACTGGGGTGCAGTGATCGTTGATGTAAGGCGTCAGGGAAGTAAAATATGGTCGCTCACTTAGGTCCATTTGATACATAAATCCTGTTGAAAAGCATGCTTGGCATAATCCACAATAGAGGAGTTTAGGTAACAAAATGCTGGGAGCTAAGAGCAACATCTAATCGTTTATTGAAAACGTCTAAGGTAGGAGAGCATGAAACTGCGCCTGGGAGTGCGTTCCAGGATTGGCAAACCCGAAGGGAAAAGTAATTCCGTCGACACTCTAAACGGCTGTATTGTTCCTTCAACTTTAAGCAGTTATCCCTGAGCTGCGTGTTGTGGCTAAGTTTCAGCGAATGGCGGCATAAGTGGTTGGGGTCACTCAGTATGTGATACGGTAATATGAGATCACGGCGCAGTCTTCGATAGCGTCCGCGGAAAATTCCCAGCAACTTCAACAATGTGATAGCGCAGGCCCTTTACATTCTTTGTTGCTCTTCGTTGTGATGCCACTAACACTTCTAGGTCGTGCTTCAACCAAGGTTGCCAAGCTTGGATAGCGTATTCAACATGCGGGCGCACGTAGGAATTGTGCATCATTGGGAAGATTGATGGGTCAAATCTCTCGAATGCCCTTCGCAGCATGCCGACATGCTGGTTGCCTCTTTTCGCAGCTACCTCAGCCTGTTTTGAACAGTTGAGGTAGCTCTGTACGGTAACACCCAGCTCAGGTTCCTGGGAGCAATTCTGCAATCCGTTTGTCCCAAGTAAATAGGTGTAGTTATGTCAATGGCGTAATTGTAGAACGCGACATTTGTCTACGTTGAATGGTAGGGCGTTTTGAACTGACCAGTTCGACACTGTGTTAAGACCGCACTGGAGCCGTTGGTGGTCGTCCGGTCCTCTGATCCTTCGCCATTTCTTGATATCATCAGCGAAAAATAGGAAATAGGAAGCAATTGATCTCGCCAAATCGTTAATGAACACCAAGAATAGACGAGGTCCAAGAACCGAGCCTTGTGGTACTCCACATGCCACATCGATTGAATCAGAAAATGATTCACAGACTCTCACCACTAGCCGTCGTTCTTGTAGAAAATTGCCAATCCAACTCAGGATTGGGTCGCCAATGCTGTAATTCCGAAGCTTCTGAAGGAGAATGCGATGGTCTAAACGATCAAACGCTTTTGAAAAGTCTAGGTAGATGACATCGACTCCTACTCCATCATCAACAGCTTCAGTCCAGCTATTACGTGCAATTAATAGGTTAGTATTACACGAATGCTTTTGACGAAATCCATGTTGCTCTAGAGCTATTAAGTTGTGGCTTTCCAAGTATTGCATCAGCGCATCTGCGATGATCGATTCCATCACTTTGGATAGTACTGGAAGTAGTGTTATTGGACGGTAGTTGGCAGGACCAGTGCGGCTACATCCTTTATGGATAGGAGTGATGACCCCTTGTTTCCATACTGGTGGAATACGGTTCTCTTCTAGACATCGCTGATAGGAAACAACCAGTGGTTCTGCTAGATCACTAGCTACCGCCTGCAAAGCCTTTGGTCGGATGTTGTCGACTACGGGAGAACTGTGGATACGCAAGGATAACAACTTATGCAACATAGCTACCGCAGTGAAGGTGATGTTTTCTAAACCAGATGGCGGAGTAGTAGAAATGAGGTGAATGTTTGTGCTCGTTACCTCCTGGAAAGTTTGGGAGTAATGAAGCCGTAGGAGATCAGCTGCTTCCATTGCTGATCGCGTACACCCATCAGCCGTGACTAGTGCTGGAACCCCTCGCTTTACCTTTCGAAGGCCGTTAACGTGCCTGTACAGGAGTTTGCGATTCGAGCAGAATCGCTTCATTAACTTCTGCTGATGAGTGACCTTTGTCTTCGCGGATCAGTTTCACACAGAAGTTACGGTGTGCCACTTATGCAGTCCAGGTTTCGGCGTTCGAGCAGTCCTTGTGAGCTCGCCATACCAAATCCTTCCGGGACATCCATTTGCGTGTTATGCTCCTCAGAAATGACTTATGCATGTTTTTGGGTTGGAAGGACTTCTCTTCCGATGCGTGCGCAACTAGTGTGCTAAACGTCCTTGTAAATGTTTCCCAGGCAACATCTGGGGGACATTCGGTTAAGAATGTCCAAGATGTGTCCTTAACAGAGCAAGTAATTCCATCCATTTTATAGGAGGACTGCACCGGGCTTAGTTAGCCAGTGGGATAGACACTGCAAATGTTAGTAGATGCATGTAAACGATCTAGAAGTCATGACTGCAGATGTTTGGAAACCATCGGTTGGTGTATTGTAGCCAGACCTTTCTGAGCTCAAAATTTCGGCTGAGCCGCTAGATGGTCCGGTTGGCAATCACAAAACTCACTCGTGAACCTGCTGTTTCCTTAAGGACAACATGCAGTTTTGCTTTCATTTTTGTGTTTGGATTCTTCGTAATAACAGCGCCAGTAGTTCATGTTGGGTAACAGTTTAGACATATGAATGTCTGTACGAGTTTTGTGTTTCTTTCTGGAAATATCTTTCATTGATGATAGGCTCGACAAGCAATGGACTAATGAAACAATGGTGTATTACGGGTAAAAAAGCAATGCATAACAAATCCAGTGGGATGGCAAATATGAAGAAAATAGAAATTCATGATAAAGTGAGAAGCGTTTTGGTGGACTCACCATAAATATGTGTAGAAGAACTGAGATGTTCATCTTATAACATAACTGGATTTCGAAAACATAAACTTTGCATTGTTTAGCCCCCCTGGCTAACAAAAGTTATAAAACGAAATGCTAGTAGGACAACAATTCGTCAAATGGTTTTTTAATATCGTTAGATTGGGGCAGAGACGACATAATTTGGGAGAGCATTCGTAGGCTGACACACTCGGATGAAAAATAGATTTCTACGGCATTCCAGCTGGCTATAGTTTATTGCCACTTTCAGAGGATGACCTCTTATTTTTATGTTGTGGTACCGTTCCAGCAGCTGGCGGAAAATGTGGTTTAGATCCTTCGGTAGCTGGTAAAGCATTATGAGGTACCCTTGCAAAAGACGATAACGACTACTGTGCATTCCAAGGGGCTTCACTCAAAGCTGATAGGGCAGATGGAAGAGGCCCCTAAAGACCATGGTTGCCCTCATTTGTGCAGTCTCAACAGCAACGAGCAGAAATCGTTACACGATATTTTAAGAGCATACCGTATCCTTTCTGGATTTAATATCACACAGATCCAAAGAAGCGGCACATGAATAAGCCCAGTAATTTTATTTTTCCCGCAGATGTTAACAATAGCTGTTCCCACACCGTTTGTCTGCTGACACTCGATTCCACACTATCCGCCATCATTACGTAGCAGTGCATTTAAAGCACTTAGACACTTAGAATGATGACACATCCAGCTCTTCATCTTATAATTTTTTCCCAAACAATTGTTAAGCATCTGTTTTGTAACCCGTAATAACATATTGATTATTGCTTTGGGTTGCTATTGTTTGTGGGAAGGCGTAGAAACTGGGATACTCAGCATCGGGTAAGCAATGCTCGGACGTTCATTAAACGTTCTGAGTATCTCTAGTATTCTCCGAGAGGGAGGCTGTGTCATAGTTAAATATATTTTTATGTTAGCCTGCGTCGTGGTGTGAAGAGGAAACAACAAAGCAGCTTCGGTAGTGGTTGAGTCACCATATATATTATAGGGAGGTGTTCGACCAAACCGACTGATAAGGATACTTGTGTTCTGTTAATAAGCACCAATTATATTAACTACCAAAACAGCCTTACCCCCGACATAGACAACTGCGAAGCCGCTGCCACTGAGTTCTCTGTGCAAATCGGTGAGATACTGAGCTCCAAAGGGGTCAACATCAGACAGTCCATTAACATCAAGGAGAATATATCGCTTTCGGGCACTTTGACAAGCTTTGTCCGATTTTGAATTAGAAGTATTATTCGTCTTAGATAACTGAAAAGGAAAGTACCAAAGGCGGCATGGCAAACTTCAGTGGTACAAATAACGATTTTAACCATAGCATATTCTCATGTAATTTGGTTGGGTTTTGATTCAAGAACTCTCAAATATGAAATAATGCTAGGGATTTGTAAGCGTCAAAATGTTTTTCAAGCTTAAATTCAAATAACAAATTTCCTTAAAGCATACAACTTTAAGCCAAAGTCGGAAAAGAGGTTTATAGTGCATACTGATGAATTGACCGTTCTAACTATAAGAAAGTTAGGTGGAATCCGGTGTACCACTTTCCTCGTCTGCAGGAAGGAATGTGACTAAGGAAGTTAAGTGGATTCTTAAGCCTAAACAGTACAATTATTGATATCGCATGGCTATCATAACATAGCTGACAGTGAGTGCTTTCTGTAGGCTATTTGGCAATTGAAATTGGATGCTAACTCGCCCAGGTACATGTACATTCCCGAGGTGGATTGTTAATTGTACCAAAGACAAGACGCATCATCTGGAGCAATAAGAAGTCCTGTTCGCGGTGAGCATTCAAGCCATTATCTCAGCATACGCAAGTGAATGGACATGTGATCTATTAGTAGAGAAGTGCTCTATCATTCGAAGGAAAAGATAACGATTCTGTCTCCGTACCAACCAATAGGTACGGTTCTACCAATTGTACCAATTTCGATTGCGTCAACTTTAACTAGCTTTCACTAGCCTCGCCATTGGGTACTGTAGCTAAGCCATAATTTTGAGTAACCAGATGTTACTGGCTTACACCCAGGTTATCAGTCAACTAATTGTTGTCGTAGATAATATACGATGCTTAGCAAACTGACCTCTCAGCAACCGTAATTTCATCCTGTGTTAACAGGATTGCACAAGCAACCAAGTCCTTTGTACATCTGTTGTATACGCCAAATGATAACGCTGCATGCATATTCTACCAACAGCCGCTGAAGAGTCTACCAAAATATTCAACTACTAACTGGGTGTGTTTAACCACCCGAGCAACCGATTGTTCCCTGACAGGATCTCCCATCCAAGAGAAATGGGGGGTTAGCATCGGCCATCACGCCAAGTATACCGGCTACGGTGTTCAGAGCTAACGTACCAGATAGCTACCAAGATTTATCGAAGCGCCGGTTGTACAATCCCAGCACTCATCGTTACAGTACAAAGCAACGACCAAGGCAAATCTAAGAATGTGCTTTTTTGTCAAGGTTTATATCGACAAACTGATCCCTTTGAAGGAGCAAAAATCCTAATGCTAACACCAATATCGATGGTCTGTCAGGTAGGAGATCAATCCATCCTGAGGTATTCCATAAGAGCACAGAATTAATAATCTGGATCAATGGGTAGTGATGCGATCCGGGTCTCCCAAGCAGCATCGTAAATAGCACCACGTCTTCACGCCCACACAACATGTGATCACTGTTTCAAGGTGCTAGAGGTCCTGAGTGCACATAAAATTAAAATGGAAATGAATTGCAAACCGTAGTAACCTATCCAACGACAATGAGCATATCATAGGCCCAGCCGGCAACTCTGCTCTGCGCAAAAATATGGTATTTATATCCAGTCAGCTACACTGAGCTAGGAATGTCAGCTACAGGTTTGTTTTCCGCAATTGCACTAGACCTGGTGGCCAATATCAAACAAGATACAAGGAAATTCCTCTCGAGTTAAAAACAGTTCGTGTTTCCGAATACCAATATCTGTCATGCAAGCTCGTAGCTGATAAATGACCAACGACAACCCAATTCATGGACACAGTAATATAATCTCTGACAGTGATACCGTGAGGTAAAGCTTAAGAGGCCGGCCATTCTGCTTTAACTAGTTCAATGATTGACAAACGGCAGATACAGCAAGGGTGATGCTAACGATGTTGAATTTATTCTTTAGCCACGTTTCGTTTTACATACTCACCGGGTTATCTTCCCCTTTTTCATCAAGACTTGTAGTTAGGGGTTTATTCTCCAAACTAGTGCTATCATTTGCATGATGGGTGTTCTTCTCCAAGAAACTTTTCATTCTGGCTCGTAGCTGCTCTGCAGATGCGAAGTTCAGTGATCCCACAAGTTGACAAGCGATAATTTCATATGGGATATGATTGGTAGACGCTCCATTCCATGTGGCTTTGGCACTGGGTACCTCACACAAGAGCAGACACAGTAGAGATGGCTGTGAGCAAACTCCTTTTTAATTTCACTGTATTTTTATGAAATATCACTCGAACTAGAGTTCTCAGACTACTCACTTGTACGATGTGTTTCCAAACAAATGCATGCATGTTCGTTGCTGCTGAGAAGTTCAGACTATCTAGCACTACATGATGGTACCGGTTTCGGTTAATGAATATTGACCCGTGGAGATCAGTGGCAAGTTAAATGCTGAGCAAATCAGTCGCATTATTGTCAATCGTCAAAAAGGAAGAAATGCACACAATCGAACACTTCATGAAGTCCACTGAACCGTTTTAGTATCTTCCACCACTGAACGGTTTCATCTCGCGGCACAAACTAAAGCTGAGGGAGTAGTGTTTACAGAAGTAGAAGTCAACTGGGGTCAAGCATGGGCGTCTGAGTTTGTTCGGGGGTTTGCGAACAGTAGCCGGACCAGTGAACATACGTTTTGGTTAATTGTACCTCTAGATTAGTGGTTCTCAACCTTTTCGAGGTTGTTGCCCACAAAATGGGTTAACTATGAACAATTACTCCCAGAAACGCTAGTTTAAAAAGCTACTGCATTTGTTGCTTCATAGTACAGAAAATGCATATGTTTTGTAATTACATTTTATCATTCGAATGAAGAAAACACCTATATTAGGGCAATTTTTTATTAACTCAAGAGGTGAGGTAAGCTAATGCGATCGTTGATAATACTTGATTTCAACAAGTTATGGTATATTTAGTGCGGTTCCGGCTAATGCACATCGTAAGTCGTGCTCCAAGTTCATTCGGTCTCTTGCTTTGCTGTGCGATCCCTGATCAAACACGAACAGTGGCTTCTCATTTGTTTCAACCATGCCTTCCAAGTCCTTTCTGGCTGATAGCTTCTCACAACCACTCTGTATCGATAAATCCTGAGCGCTAATCGCCTGTTTTGTCCGTTCTACCTTGCCAACATTCGTTCGCTCCTTTACCTGGTCGACTGACCTATGCTCCCACCCTAGTGTTCACTCAACTCTGTAATCCGACCCGGCTAATGACTGCATTACTCAAAAGAACAACCATCAACTACGGAGCCGATAGAGTCGGCAACAAGCTGCGCTGCTTTAGAGGATTGTATCGGAAATGTAAGTAATAAAATTTGTCACAGAAATTTGTCTAATCCACGGGCCACTCACTAATGATTAGTCACTGATGACAAAAGTGGTTAGTGACTTAGTTACGCGTTTTGGTACCGATGATTTTGTTTTTAATTTTGTTTGACGACAAATTGAAGACCCAATCTTATATTTGCCCCCAATAAAATTCCATTTAACCCCCTCGGGGATAATTATCCCCGGGTTGACAACTACTGCTCTAGGTGATGGGCGTTAATCGAGATATTGTCTAGAAAAAGAAGCCTATAGCAAAAATCTTGCTTAACGAGAACGCGCATATTCCGAATAATGCCCATTTAAACACGCACAGTGTACAACGCGTAGAGACTCAAGATCGCGCCCGTTGGAACGTGGATTGGGGATTCTTTCGTTGATAAAATATAAGGGCTGTAATGTAGTAAGTGTATATTGGCTCTCGCTGGTTCCTGCTTGCGCGATCAATTGTTCGGTAGGGTTGCCTTGAGGGGACAGCTGTCATCCGCCACCCGAGCTCGAATGGTATATTTTGCAGGTAGCGTAGTGGTACCATTTCAAAATTATTGTAGTTGTCTTGTATAAGGCCCATCTAAAGGATGTACTGCAACGTGACACTTAAAATGAAAGTGTAGCAATTGCATTTACGAACAGTTTGATGAGTTATTTACACTCAGTTTTGTCCAATAGTGTATGAAGGGATTAAAAGCACAACTTTACAAGACCCACAGGATGGAGATGCAAACGAAAATTAAAGGCAGAATCTTCCAACGTGGAACGGGAAGTATCAGTGCTTGAACCATTGCACTTTAGCAAACTGTTAGGCAGCGTTTATCGCTAATATGAAAGTCTAAGAGTCTTTCGAATGTCGTCATGTCTAGTGCGTTCACCACATATCTTGGTAATGCATTCCAATGAGAACAGATTCTAAGTGAGTAAAAATACTTTCTACCATTCAGACGGGAGTGTTGCGTCATTAGTTTCAGGCGGTTGCCTCAGCTTTGTTTGTAATGGGCTAGGGTCAACTGTGATGTACATGGATGCTCGCTTTCAGTTAGTATCCTGCAGGTGTGAGTACGATCTCCGCGAAGCCATCGATATTCTGATGACAACACATAGTCGTAGGGTGGGGATTAGAATACCAACACCGGATCCAGTGTCGGAGCTAAGCGCGATGGTTGGCGCTAACTTGCAATGATTCAGAAAAATATTGCAAGACCAAATAGCCAAGTGGATAAATGCAATTCGACAAAGTGTGGAGCCTGATAGGTGGATTTGCAACCTGCATTAAGCAACATCGCACATTGTAAATAAACAAAGTGTTCCCACTTCATACAGTCAAAAGTAGTCTTTATCTATACACTCATCAAATTTTGGAAATGGTGTTCCCAGCAGTGCACTGGGATCCAAAATCTACGTAGATAACAGGCTACTTGGACCCACTATGCACCTCAGTCAATAATCGCAAGATTCGCATCCATTCATGAGCTGAGTTTAGTGATTGGGAACATTAGGTGCTTGCAAAATATTTCACGTGCTAGGCCCATAGGTGAATCCTAAGCGGTAAACCGTATTTCTTAACGTAACTCGACCTTACCTCACCAGGTGTATCCGGCAGAAACAACTCGGTACCTGGTACATTGTGGAGCGGTGTTACACGGAATGTTCTTTGACCCTCTGCCAGGGCCAGGAGACAGCAAATCGCCCCCACCACCAGACCGACGGTGACATTGAAGACCAGAGTGGTCGAAAACGTCACAAAGTAGAGGAGCTGAACATTCAGAAAGAAAGAGTTGATATTCATTCGACACAAAATTTGGGTTATCAATGTACTTGTGTGCAATGAACAAAGAACAATGAATTTATACGGGTTAAGAAGCGTTGCATTACAAGTCCCGTTGGATATTTGGTGGGGATCTCGACATAATAATAGATAATAATGATAGTAAAACAGTTAGTACTCCGCCGTAGTCCTACAATCAGCTTAGATTCACATTACCCACAATTAACAGTACGTAATTCCATGATAAACTCCAGGTGTAGGATGGAAACGTAGTGCTAAGTGACCAAGTGTAGGCAGATGAGTGAGTCATCCAACCGTCTTTTAAATACTATTAGTGTCGGTGCAGAGGAAAGCGATTCTGGGAGAGCATTACACGGATGACAGACAGGAATGGAAAAGAAATGTCTGCGGCACTGCAGACGGCTATACTGTACAGCGAGTTTCAGTGAGTGACCTCTCAGGGTTGTATTGGTGCGGGGTCGCAGTAAAGGGCGGCACGCATGATGTGGGTCTCACAGAATCAAGTATGTCATAATCAGGTTGCCTCGTAGTTTGCGATGGCTTCCACCAATACCCCCAATTGTTGCAGCCTCTCCTGTTATGAAAGACGTTTTGGCTGTTCCAGGGGATTAAGGACAAAGCTGGATGGATTGCGATGCGTGACCTGAGTGCTTCTGGTTCATTTGGATTATTCCCCTATATCTTCTCTCCATCTTCTTGCAGTGTTGTAACTGTACGCTCATTCGAATCGGATTTACCAGCACTACACAGTGATCCATCATACGTGGAAGTATCTTCTACGATTACAGTCCGTGCCATCACTAACCGTTTTCACTGGCATCCGTGATTAAGTGCAAGCGGTTTACTCAATCACATTGAGTCGATTGTCTTTCTTTGTGACCCCATTCGATACAGAATTCTCTGTGCTGTCCGAAAAGTTTAATCTTATTTCAGTGCGGCATTTCTCAACGCAGCGCTGAAAGTATCTGTGATCACTCAATATGTGTTCAGCGCTGTGTTCAGATGCAGTTAGCAGGTTCCAGTCACTCGCCGTTCCTTGTGACCTTGTCAGTCAGTGGGCCTGCATCACCCATCACACGGACCGCTCGACCACGCCAAACGTTCATTTGACTTTGCAACCACCACGCTCGCCTGACCGATGTGGGCCACTCTCAAAGCTAGAAAAGTACAGAACGCTAACCATCCCACTGGGTCAGGTAACGACACCACGTTGAATGGCAGAAATGCGAATCCAAAAAGGCTCCAAGCGAAAGGCATTTGCGTGTTAGGAGAATGTCATCGAGTAGTTAAAATCGGTCTGACTTGCTCGCACTGTTTGGAATGGTATCATCCGAAATGTGCAAATGTGTCCCAACAACAGGTACGAGAACGAAATAGCTCCCAAAATGCACTTTGGTTCTGTACTGCGTGTTCCACCATCTCACTCGTTAAGTGCTTGCTTCTCCTAGCTCAGAAGTGCGACCGGTTAACCGCAGAAGCCGAGCAGAGGATAAACGTTGAGACTACTTCAATGGAAGCGAGTATGTACCAGGGAAGCGTAGCGGCTTTTAAGCAACGGAATGCTGCACAATCCGCTTCCCCTTAACCGCAATCAGCCACGTCCCCATCTCCGTTGTCTTCTCCAACTTTGGTAGAACGCCGGGTGAAAACTGACCGTTCCTACGAGCGTCGAACAGTACTCAAGCCAACGAAAAGCAGGCACCACTCGAAACGTCTGGTTAAGCAAATTCCACTGGACCTGAGATCTAGTATTAACAAGGATGAAGCATCCGAACACCAACCCTCGGTACCTGTAGCTCAGATGTCTTTTGTCGCGACAAAGCCCCCCGGAATATCAGATTCATATGCAGAGATTGCTGCAAAGGTCCGCCGGGAGGCCGCCGTTGCGGTCTCTTCTGCCGTAAACACCGTCAACGCGAATAGAGGGACAGACAGAAAATTAACAATACTTGTCAGCAGGTCAAGACAAAAGACTACCCTCCATTGTAGGTCAACGAAAAAGCGATCCAACAATAGTGCCCGACTGTTGTATGCTCAAATGTCCCTGAATCTACTGCTATCACACTGCGGGATAAGTTATCGGATGACCAAGACCAATGGAACTCATTGTGCGTGCTGATGAGTGTCAAAGCCAAGTCCATAACCTTATTACGAATTACTCGACATCCAAACTCGCCACACTATGGAGAACACAGACTAAGTTGAGAAACACTAGAATCCTCCACCGACGTAGAAACGTTTTGCTCTCCGCAAGTGCACTAAAAAGCGGATCCTGTGAGATACGCATCTATCCTGATATCCCTTAAAGCGCGCGATAATCAAAAAGAAACACCGAAGAGGGACACAGCAAACAAGACCGCCTAAACACCATCTGCGTATATAGCGTGCCAGAATGTCCTACTAACGATATTCACGAGACCGGAAAGCACGATTTAGAACAGTGGCGATTTATTCGTGAAACACTTGCTTTGGATCCATCGCAATGAGGCTGGACCTTACCGTGGTGCGATGGTTTGTGTGCCTCAGCGATCCATTGAGCTACGCTGGGTGGTGCTTTTGCACCTTCAGAGTCACTCATACCAGATTGGTCAATGGTTAGAGGCCAGACAAACTCAGCCTCCTGGTCCTCCAGGTTGGGGGTTGGAATGAGGGTGGCACTTTATTCCTTAAAACGGACTCCTTGTAGTTCAACGCCAAACCCGCTGCCTTGCGGTCAGGTTTTTGAACCAAAGGCTTTGGTTGAGAACCCCAATCGTTCTCCTGTCTAGGCCTGGGCAACCTGACAGTATCCTGCCCACGCAATACAATGAATCACACTTCAAACAAATTGCTGATGCTCTGGCCACCGCAGAGGATAATCAACGGTGCCCTATCTGCTGCATCGAGCAGGGTGGATAGGGGTTTGGATGCTACTGCTTAAGCCTTCCCGTCTTCTTATTCACCATCTTACGCTTTTTCACTCTTACCGTCCCCTTCCAACTTCACTTATATCCCCCCAGTTTTCAACCCCCCGATTCTTGGCCCTCCCCCAACATGCTTTGCTAGGCATTTATCTTCTAGTTTCAACTCACACGTGAACGTAGAGCGTCACTCCTCTCCTGTCGACAAGCCCATGTCCAACCAAGCGGTCCATTCCAGTTCATCGGCTTCCATTTGGAGCCCTCGATCCTCCTTCAGATTGGCATGCCTCAATGTACGCACACTACTACAGATCGGTCAACAGGCAGCACTTTCCCGAACATTGGAGACCCTCTCGATTGATATCTGCTGCTTATCAGAGACCCGCCTGCAAGACTCGAGCTCTGTGCTCACTCTGCGATCCCCTTCAGGTGACGCAAACAGTATTTTCTCATTGCGCCTATTCGGTGACGATGCAGCTTCGAGCACTGGCCAAGCTAATGTTGGCATTGCCCTGAGTCCCCGAGCTGAAGCTGCTCTGGTTGATTGGATTCCAATCAGTAGCCGGATGTGTGCGGTCCGATTGGCTGGCTCGTTTAAAGCTTCAAAGTCACGCGTGACTAATAGGTGTCTATTCATCATCGCTGCCTACGCGCCCACAAACTGTAGCGATGATTCGGTAAAGAACGACTTCTACCGCCAACTGACTCAGCTCCTTCGCCACAGAAGAAGCACGGACACTGTTGTGCTGGCTGGGGATATGAACGCACAAGTTGGAAAATTGTCCACTGATGAAATGCATCTGGGCGGTCAGCACGGTGTAGGCTCCCGTAATGATAACGGTGAGCGGTTACTTCATTTGTGTGAAGATGCTCGCTTATTTCTTGCGAGCACTAATTTCCGACACAGCACCCGCCGGAGGGTGACTTGGCGCCCACCAGCCTCGAACCAGTCTTGGACGCAGATCGATCACATTGCTATTGGTTACCGCTGGAGAGGCTGCATCCAGAATTGTCGCTCGATTTGGAGCACATGTGTGGACACTGATCATGCACTTGTATGTGCTGACATGCGGATGCGCTTCGGCGGACGCCCACGACGACGCTGTGAGCGTATTGACACCAGCCAACTGACAAAGCTAGCTGTTCTGAATGCGTATCGAAGTACGCTGACATGCGAGTTGAGTACTCACTCACTGGAGACAATTGATGGTCACTGGTCACATGTTCGCCAGACCTTACTAGCAGCGGGCAAATCCTCATGTGGTATGTCTAAAAGCCCACATGGACATTGGGTCTCTTCTCGGTCTCTGGAACTTATCGACGCTCGCCGGCATGTCCCGGCTGGAAGCGAGCACAATGAAACTCGCAAAGAGCTCCGGGCAAAACTCCGCGCTAACCTGAAGAGAGACCGCGAATCTTGGTGGTCTCATCGTGCGTCAGAGATGGAAGTGGCCGCTGCCCTTGGCAACCATCGTAAGTTATTCCGTCTGATACGGGAAACGGGCAGCAGGAGACCTGGTGTTAGTGAAACAATTTGTGATGAGAGTGGACAGCCTATCCACAATTTGTCAAAACGTCTGGAGCGTTGGGCTGAGCATTTTCAAAAGCAATTTAATCGGCTAGAATTGTTCGATTCGCCGGTCACTGATCGCCCTGCTCCGTGGGCTGTCCCTTTGGATCCACCCTCTTGCTCAGAAGTCGAACGTGAGATCGGACTGTTGAAGTTGAACAAAGCCGCGGGACCAGATGATCTTCCTCCAGCCCTCTTCAAATTCGGAGGCTCTGCTCTTGTTGATGCTTTACATGAATTACTTGTGAAACTGTGGGAGCAGGAGACTGTCCCAACCGACTGGAGCTGCTCCGTTATTGTTCCCATCTTCAAAGGCGGCTCGCGCTCGGAATGCGGCAACCATAGAGGAATCAGTCTGATCTCCATCGCCTCCAAATTACTCGCCTCCATAATTCTTCACAGACTGACTGGCGCTCGTGAAAGCCAGATTCGTGAGGAGCAAACCGGGTTTCGTCGGGGTCGTGGCTGCATTGACCACATCTTCACTTTGCGTCAGTTGTTGGAGCACCGCCACACATATTGGCGGCCCA